ACATTGCTTTTCTGTAAAGTTTGAAATTTACTTATATTAAACATTATAAATTTCAAACTTTACAGAAAAGCAATGTTTCAATAAGAAATAAAAGCAACTTTTCAGAGGTCGATCTCATTTTGGTCTACCAGATATACTTATGAAGCTTGACCTAGACTTTAAATGCATATTAATAAATGTGTAATAAATTAACAAATTATCTGTACAATAAATTAATTTAATTAATTAAAGTTACTGTATTATGTAAACATGATTAATAATTATTAATTAATAGTTGCAATTAATTAAATGATTTATTTTGTGTTTAATTTAAACAACACCTTTATTAGTTTTACCTTTGAAGTATAGGTTATACAGTACTACACATTCATCTAGAAGGGTTAAGCATAAAGGCATCCATGTGCAATACTAACCGAGGTAAACATAATGACACCAGGGTCCTCGGGTTTCACGGCATCCACTAATGTTTGGTCCAAAACGCCGTCATTTGTCGTGAAATCCTTAAACAAATGAACAGATATTTTGTGTCTTAGAGAGTGGTCCACAGGAAACGCATTGCCGTCCATAACAATAACGTCTCGTAATAGCAATTCATCGCTATTTTGCGACTAAAATAAAAAATATTTAATTTATATGTGAAGTATTTTTTATCCAGATCTTAAAAAACAATTAATGAATTGTCATATTGAGTTCAATTTAAACATTTACTTACAGTCTGAGAGTCTTTAATCAATACATCTGTTAAAACAGTTTGAAACTTATTGATCACATTGTGCTTGCTGTCTGCCCCCGGCATAAACAGTGCTTTTATCTGTGCCCTTCGCAATAAATAATCCAGCTCGTCCACTTGATAACCTGGATTGATTGTGCTCAAGATTAGCCCCAATCTAAAACACGCATATTGTATTTGGACCTAGATAAATCAGATATTATTTAAAATTATATTATTTTTTAATAAAGTTTATAAATTTCAATTTTACCCAGTTGTATGAATTTGTACTCCAAACTCCCACCACATCTCCATGCTTTAGACCTTGATTAAAATTAAATAAATTGTTGTTAATTATAAATAATCTGTAGGTAGACTATGAAAGTGAAATTTCAACTTAGTTTTTATATAATTGATCCACTGGGTGCTTAAAAGGGTTATCTATTTTTCAATGCAAACTGTATACATAACATAATCATTGCATTTCTCAAAGTAATAAACAATATTAGATACTATGAATGCAAAGATTATGTTATGTTGACAGTTTGAATTGATAAATAGATAACCCTTTTATGCATGTAGACGATCAATTGTAATAATGTTAAACAAAAGTTAATAAACATATTTTAAAGCATAATTGAAAGGTATGTTTCGTATACTTCCCGCTAATATGTATTAATTAGGAGGACTGACCGAAATCCGTGAGCCCTTTAGCCAAACGGTTCACATCATCGTTGAGCTCTCCATAGGTTTTGCTTATATTCTCGTATTCGGACACAAATGCAGTTTTGTTTGCATCTTATGAACCAA